ATTTAAGTTAAGATCAGATTAAGATCTGACCGGGGAGTTTCCTTACTATGGATCCAAAATACTGATGTGTAACATGGACAGCTGCAGGAGTTATGGATGGACTGGTTCTTATTTACTCTCTAGTCAAGCACTCAAAGCACTTTATACAGCACGCCTCATTCACACAGGCACATTTGCTTTTCCCAACTTAGTGCTTTCCAGCATTCACACTCCGATGGATGCATCAGTATCTTGCCCAAGGATCTTTGGCTGGTGCAGTCAGGGATAGACCACCAGCCTTCTGATTAGCAGATGAATACACACTCCCTGCTGATCCACAGAACACTGTAAATACAGTAAATTCTGATGTTTGTGAATTCTCTTTATTATTTCATAGAAACATGTAAAACATAATTAAATAAAACCTAATGTAGCAAAATATGTGCAACTGCTAAAACTTTAGGTCCTTATTGCGGGTTAAACGTAACGATGCTATGGAAACAAAGTTGTCTTTTTTAGAGCTTCCTTCACAGACTTCCGGACATTTGCAGCTCGGATATTTTGAAGCTTTTGTTTTGAAAGCAGCGACCGGAAGTAGGTTGTGTGTAGCCGTGTGTTGCTAATGCAGGGCTAGCTCTGAGGCTGCAGATGAAGAACAGTTCCTGCTGCAAAAGAAGCGACAGCGGGTCTTTAGCACAGTTTGGCCCGCTTTAATAATCGTGTCGGTTTAACACGAACTGGGTCAGCTCACACACCCTGACACGGATACCCGGATACGGAGAGCTGGGGCAGGAGTGGCGGTTCGCTCAGGTATCCGGGTTAGTTAGCTTGTTGCGGGGCAGCGGGATGGATCTGTTCGACGATCTGCCGGAACCGACTCAGACCTCCGGTGAGTTAACGGGAAGGTTTGACGTTAGCAGCAAGGCTAAGGCTCCATCACAGAGCCGAGTGAGCTAACGTTAGCGTTACTGCTGCGGGAGCCGCGCTTCAGTTCACACCCCACAGACATGACTAATCGATTACGCATCGATTTATCGGTCAGCAGCTGCAGGTTTCATGAGCTCAGCGACAGTTTTTCACCTCTAAAATGTGAAATCTGACTGTATAAAAACACGAAATAGTCAGCAAAGCACCGGGAAAATGAAAAGTGACGTATTTCCTTCCATAACGTGGTTGTAGTGAATTACATTTTTGTCTAAAACTCGTTATATCCGCGTAAACTCGCAGTTATTGATCTCTTTGATTATTAATAACTGGTATCAGTGAGGAACAGCCAGACAGGCTGTCTCTGAATCATCACCATCTCACCCCCCCTCCTCTGCATGTAGTCCCTCCTCTGCACATGCCCAGACCATCTCACCCTCTCTAACTTTGATGCTCCTGGCCTCACTTTCCATATCAGTGATGTTTGATGTTAGACTTTGATGAATGCAGGAACAAACGCAGGTAAATGGCGAGGCTTGTGTCAGGAAGGACATCGGGCTAATGTTTGATGTGGTTCCTCCTCAGGTCCTGCTCTAGCAGCGCTCACAACTCCACCCCCAACCACCAGAGAAGAAGAGGAGGAGGAGAAAAGGTTGAAACGGAAACGAGATGAAGCACACAGGAAGGAGGAGGAGGAGGTCAAGAAAGTTTGCAAAGAAGGTCTTCAGCTGTTCCACCACAATGTTTGTTTGCTTCTTTTCCTCCAATCAGACGCGAGCACACGTGAATACGACTCGCAGAGGCGAGGGCGGACGCCGCCGGTCTCATGCTCTCTTTGTGTGTCTAGGCCTCCCAGTGCTCAGAGGATACGTGGCGGCGAGGCGTGGCGAGCGCGAGGAGATGCAGGACACTCACGTGCTGCTGCCGGACATGAGCGGCTGTCTGTCCACGCTGCCAGGAAACGTGTAAGAGGAAGTCACGCCCACCAATCATGATCGGTCGCAGCTCCTCTGTGTGGTCTCTCTGACGGCGTGTCTTTGACTGCAGGTCCCGAGTTTCGTACTTCGCCGTGTTCGACGGCCATGGCGGCGCTCGAGCCTCTGGATTCGCCGCTGAGAACCTCCATCACACTCTCGCCAAGAAGTTCCCCACAGGTGAGTTTCCTCCACGCTGATCACGACCCGCAGTGGTCAATCCCCCCTCGCTCTTATTTTGAAAGTCCAGTTGCTGCCGTCTCCTTTCCCTGCTCGCTGTGCGGTCATAGACGTGATTGGATGGACGAGGCAGCTGCTTGTTTTAATGCCACAGTAATAATAGTGATGTGAAAACTGACATAAATCACGTTTAATTATTAGAAGAATTAAACTGCTTTAATATCACGTCATGTCCACAAGAGGGCGCAGTAGTCCAGAGAGACCAGAGTCATCTGTAAGTTTACTTTGACGTAAACGTGTGAGAGAGCCATGGTGCCTTCTCATTGGTTAAAGCACGTCGTCTCTTTCAGGAGATGCTGAAAACGCCGACAAGCTGATTAAAAGGTGTCTCCTGGACACGTTCAAGCAGACCGACGAAGACTTCCTGAAGAAGGCCTCGAGCCAGTAAGACTCTGAGCATCAGTGTGCCGCAGCTGTTTTTAAATGTGGAGCAAGAAAAGTTGACGAGCTGTTTGTGTGGACAGGAAACCGGCGTGGAAGGACGGCTCCACGGCCACCTGCGTGCTGGTGGTGGACGACATGGTGTACGTGGCCAACCTGGGAGACAGCAGGGTGAGCCGGCGTTTCTTCACCTCCACCTGCGCTTCTTTTTCTTCCTGTCCTAAGCTTCCTGCTGCGCCGTTTCCGTGTCTGCAGGCAGTGATGTGTCGGATGGAGGCGGCGGCAGACGGACAGAGGAGGTCGGTGACTCTGGCGCTCAGTAAGGAGCACAACCCGACCATCTACGAGGAGAGGATGAGGATCCAGAGAGCCGGCGGCACCGTCAGGTCCGAATCCTCGCCGTCCTCCGCCAGCGCCTCTCGGCCTCAGCTAACGGCGATGTGTTCGTGTCTCCGCAGGGATGGCCGCGTGCTCGGTGTCCTGGAGGTGTCTCGCTCCATCGGGGACGGTCAGTACAAACGCTGTGGCGTCATTTCGACCCCCGACCTGAGGAGGTGTCAGCTCACGCCCAATGACAGGTAAGGAGAGACCAAAAGGTGCTCCACGAATGTAGAAACAGAATCGTGACGTTTAAAACAGCCTGGTGTGTGTGTACCTGAGCTCACCTGAGCATCAGTGTAGTGACAGTGAAGGTGGAGCTACCTTAGCAATAAATAAAACGTGTTTAATACATAAGATGCTGCACAGTAGAAACAACTGGAAACAGCTGGATTTGGACCTAAACAGCTGTGGTTTGTTCAGCTGTGTGAGCGCTGTCCCTGCTCTCTGCAGGTTCATCATCCTGGCCTGTGACGGCCTGTTCAAAGT